AAACTTCAATAATCTTATTGTAAGAAATGGAATATGAACTTTCTAGATATATCTGATGGTCAAACGAGTCAAATATCACTTAAATTTCATTTAGATTTCTATTATTAGTATATAGTCATACAAAATTAGGATCTCATTTATCCCTGCTGTCTCCCTATCCCATCCCATCCCCTCATACACCCTCAAGCATGGAGCAGAATTGAAAGGTTGAGATGGCTGAACGAAAACAGTGGTTTGGTTTATCCAATGAGAACATAAAAAGAAAGACAGACTCGACTCAGAGCCACTATCATACATTCATATCCTTTAAAGTTAACCACTAAAACTTTTAAATTCTGTGTAATAGATTCTCTTCACAAATGTCTTCCTAAAACTCAAGTCCCGGATGGAAGCTTCTTACGAAAGTTCATCTGAGAGCCTTAAGACTATCTACTTTATGTTGAAGCCCTGATGTAAAAAGTCCCTTCAGATCACCGCGTTGATAAGAACTACCTTAGTTGGAGAGCGTGGCATATCCAATGGCATCGACTACATCCAGGAAATCCTGAGTTAACATGTGCCGCTGTCTCCAGAGGTGTTACGGTTTGCAAACGACCCATTTTTCAGCCTGGGAAACTCACAGGTAAACTATGACTAAGAAATATTTTTCATAGGACATTTGTCACAACTCATGTCAATGCAGACTCCCCCGTCTCTGCTCCAACTCCCACAGCTACACTTCCTCTGTTGGGGTTCATGAGGTGAGGGAGCGCCGGTTGTATTGAGCTAGCTAGCTGCCTCTTCCCCAGGCTGGACTGCGGCCTCTCCTTCTCTAAAATGGGGGCAATGGGGCGCCTGGGTGGCGCAGTCGGTTAAGCGTCCGACTTCAGCCAGGTCACGATCTCGCGGTCCGTGAGTTCGAGCCCCGCGTCGGGCTCTGGGCTGATGGCTCAGAGCCTGGAGCCTGTTTCCGATTCTGTGTCTCCCTCTCTCTCTGCCCCTCCCCCGCTCATGCTCTCTCTCTGTCTCAAAAATAAATAAACGTTAAAAAAAAAAAATTTAAAAAATAAAAATAAAAAAATAAAAAAAAAATAAAATGGGGGCAATAATATCTTTCTTCCTGTAGGAGCGACATGAGAATTTGTCAACAGAGAATGACAGAGGAGTTGTCTGATGAATTTGAAGCACGACAAAACGACGGCAGGTTATTTAGATAGCCATCAGTTTGCTGTCATTGAAAATGTCCGGAGAACTAGGAAAACTGCTTTCTTTACTTATCAGCACATATACTTCCCAACTTGATGCCCGCCCCCATTCTAAGTGGTTTTAAATATTAACTCCTATTCTGTTCTTATCAACCTTATGAGACAGCCCCAGTTTACAAAGGAGGAAGCTGAAGTAATTGGACCAAAGCCACGACAAAAGGAAGGAGCAGGGCCAGGATTTGAACCCAGGAGTCTAGCTATAGGGCCTACCCACTCAACCACATTGCCGAGCTACCTCAAGGGAGGTCCTGTATGACCTCGGCAGCCACGTTAGCAGGTTCAGTCCTGAGCGTGCAGAGGATCTCTGGGGAACTTAAAGTTATTTTGTTTGTTTTCTTATTTTTTTTAACATGTATTCATTTTTGAGAGAGAGAGAGAGAGAAAGCGTGAGTCGGAGAGGGCCAGAAAGAGGGAGACGGAGGATCTGAAGCAGGCTCTGTGCAATGAGCACAGAGCCCCACCTGGAGCTTGAACGCACGAACTGTGAGATCATGACCTGAGCCAAAATCAAGAGCTGGCCGCCCAACCGACGGAGCCACCCACCCGGCCACCCCTCAAGTTGTTACTGAACAAATATGCATTGAGTATTCATCATTTCTTTGCCAGGGATTGTGCTAGGTACTAGGACTATAAAGCTGAAAGACACATTTCATGCCCTTCTGGAGTCTGTCAGATGGTTGGTGAAATAAACAGGGAACACCTGGTAAGAGGCTAGTTCCCTCCCTTTGAAGTCAATAAGGATAAGCTGAGTCCAAGAAAATTCCAGGGTGTGTGAATTCTAAATTGCCTTATCCTAGGTAGCCTCTGGAAGCCTCCTAATCTCCACTTATTTATCTGTCAAAAGCAAAGGAAACCTTGATGACTCAACAGTGTAAAAAGTATACAGCTGCTTCTGGCCACTCCCAGGGCAGGCCAACTGATAGGTCTTGGTATGACCAGCTTCCCCCACACCACAAAGAGAGGAAGCCACGCTAAGTCAGAATCAGTGGGCTTTTCAGGGACAGCTCTTAACCCCCATCTGGGGCACACTGCGCTCTGGAGGGAATGCTGATTTCCTCACTGGGTTTACATGGTGAGTGGGTGTGGAGGGGAATGAATATCACAACACTGGAATACGAGATGAAGGGAAACAGGTCGTTGATACTCATTCTAACAAACCAGTGCCTCTTCGCGTTGTTGTGTTTTTAAAGGAAAATAGTAACAAAGGTCAAGATAATACAGCCAACGGTCATTATATATCTGTTCTCAGGAAGTATATGTGGAAAAATCGCCAATGAACAAATGAGGGTTTAGAAGACAGACGGACGCTCAGAAGACCTAAGATATGCGCACTTGAAATCTCTTTGTGTGGTGTCACAAGTCTCTTTCCACTGACATCCAGTTAGGTCTTGGGTTGTGGATGCGAAAGTCCTGCTGAGAAGTGAGGAGTCTGACTCCAGGTCGCAACCCTATGTGTGATCTCTCAGGCCCAACGTTAGGAATTACAGAGGCTTTACCTGGCAGACCGCATGGGGGAAAGCTGACCTCCCTGCACACACAGTATCTGTGTGCACCGAACTGAGTCTCTGCAGGGATACTCAGACCCTCCTGGCCGGCGATGCTCTTACAGATATCTGCATTCCTAGCCCTCTTGCCTCCATTTGGAGGCCTCCTTATTGGGAGGCCCATGGCTGAGTCATTTTTCAGACACCTCTGCAGAGGCCACCTTCTAGGCTTGGGGGGAAGGGGACTCTGAAAGGCACTTTCCTTCACTCTGACTCAGCATTCATTTTTTTTCACTCCCAGTCCACCCCTCACCCCCCTCCCCTGTCTCCTCTTCACAAAACGGTAGGAGTCTTTTGTCTGGGGCTTCCTGTTGGTGCCTGCCCTGTTCCACCGGGAAGAACAAAACACTGGGAGAGCCAGTGCTTTCCTCAGTCAGCCTCCTGCTCATACCCTCACAGTAAGCATTTAAAGGCACCACTGTTACTCTCATTTTGGCTTGTCATTGATCATCTCGATACCCGGCCTTCCAGCTCTCTCCAGCTCAGCTCTTGCCAGGCAGGAGGTTAAAACAAAAGGATATTTTCCAACTGGAATTGAAAAATAAGTATTAGGACTGAGGTGACTCTATTGCCCAGACAGCCTACGTAAGCAAACCCAAACCTAAGCCTGTCACGCCTCAGGGCTAGGAAGTCAAAACCTAAGGACAACCAATCACAAACAGCCGACTTTTCCAAACAAGGCTTCTGTCCAGCTAGAGCCAATCAAGTCATTTCCTTACTTTGCTTCTGCGTCTTTTCTGTGGTCTTTCCCTTAGCTCCTATGGAGCTCCTAACCACTTCTGGTTTAGTGCTGCCGATTCAAATCCATTTCGACTCAAATAAACTCTAAAAAATGTAATACGCCTCACTTTATCTTGCAACTTTATCCTAGCAAGGGCACCTGGGTGGCTCAGTAGGTTGAACATCCGACTCCTGATTTTCGGTTCAGCTCGTGATCTCACGGTCACGAGATTGAGCCCCATTGCCCACCGCACCCCTCCCCCCCAGCTCTGGGCATGGAGCCTGCTTAAGATTCTCTCTCTGCCTCTGCCCCTCCCACCCTGATAAATTCACATCAGCTTCAGCTGAATCACACTGTTGCTTGTCAACAAGGATCTTTTGGATGACTTTCAATCAAGGCTAGTGTACAAATGGTATCTTTTTAATGCACATGTAAGGAGAGCCAGTCAAAGTTTGCACCCCTAAAGTCAACTGCACCTCAGACAACAGAGAAGGGTTAGCTGTCTCCTGAGCCCAGCTGGGACAGGCAGCAGGTCTGTGAGGCTGCTTTCCCTGCAGCTAGTCTGATGGAGGGAAGGGTATTGCGGGAGTGTCTTTCAGGGATCTTTCAGGGTTATCTTTCAGGGACCCAAGCAGGAAACGTATAGCAGTCTTAAAAATTAACTTCTCCTATGGCTAAACTTAGCAGCTGATTAGATAGAAAGGCAAACATCCTAGGTGAAAGAGAAAGCTGTACTTTCCAATTCGTAGATGGCTGTGTCCTAGAATTGTGTACATTAAAAAAACCCAAGCTGCAATAAACTTGTGAGTTTGCTTTAAACTGCCTTTAACCCCAGTATAAGAATCATTTCCTTTGAGGGGCGCCTGGGTGGCTTAGTTAAGCTCTTGATTTCAGCTCAGATGGTGATCTCGTGGTTGGAGAGCTCGAGCGCTGTGTTGGGCTCTACGCGGACAGCACGGAGCCTGCTTGGGATTCTCTCTCCCTCTCTTTCTGCCCCTTGCCCCACCTTCTGTCTCTCAAAATAAATGAACTTGATAAAAATTAAAAAAAAAAAAAAAAAAAAAGAATCACTTCCTTTGAGGAACTACAGGGTGGCAGGGCTCCTGACAAAAGAGGGGATCACTACTAGAGGAGAACACAGCAGGAAGTGATCCCATGATGGTGAGTGTGTGTCCACACACATGCACACACACACACACTTGCTCAGAGGTTCAGTTCACTGGGACAGCCTCCCATTTGGTGGGTATACAAATTAACTTGAGCACTCTGTTGATAAATCAAGTTACCTGAACCTCAGTTCTACTTGGTAGTGGAAAACTCATCAGTTCAGGGCAAACTGGATCCATTCAGAGTTAACCCAGCCAACTTGGGGCTCTCTCCTTGCCTGGAGTTGGTGAAGCATCGTGTCATGGAGGTAGGAGAAGGTTGGAGGACTGGAGGTATCTGGTTCTCCATTGTCACAGGTGTCCCGTGGGTCCGGCGGAGACTTACCTCATCCCATTTGGTTGTCCCCATCACTTGTGCTCTCTGGTATCCACTGAGATATCTGCGTTCCCATTGAGCCTCTGCTGTTACGGTTACTCTGCTACCACTGTGTGTCCTCGAATCCCTGAGGCCCCTGTAGGGAGGAAAGGGAACTTTTCCTGTAACTTTCTGGGTTCTTGGCTGAGACCCCTGTCATAAAAGTCAGATTAACAAGAGAAAGAAACCCAGAAGTTTACTAACAGGTATACCTCGTGTATAAAAGGAAGATCCCCAGGGAAAAGTGGGTAATAACTTCCCGAGATGGCCTAGGCACTGGCTTAAATACCATCTTCAGGTAAAGACAAAAGAAAGAAAGGTGAGGTGGTCTAGTTACGGTCTAGTTAAGCCTCTTATGATCAAGAGTCATCCTTCCCTTCATGGTACAGAGAGGGAGACAAGCTTTCAGGTGGAGACTTCCCTTATATAAATGCCCATTTCTCAGGGCACCTGGGTGGCTCAGTCAGTTGAGTGTCCGACTTCGGCTCAGGTCATGACCTCAGGGTTTGTGAGTCTGAGCCCCACATCGGGCTTGCCTGTCAGCTGTCAGGGCACAGCCCGCTTTGGATCCTCTGTCCCCTCCCATTCCCCTCCCCCCACTCCTCCCGCCCTTTGCCCACTTGCCCTCTTTCTCTCAAAAACAAATAAAACAGAAATAAATAAATGCCCATTTCTCTTGCAAAAAAAGTAACTCCTATTCCATTTTCGGAGCTTCGCCTGCGTCTGCAGTTACTCAAAATAATCCTACGTCAAAGAGGCATATTTTGGGGGAGCGTGTTTTGCACCCCTCAAAGTTAACTGCCCCTCAGACCACACAGGAAGATTAGTTAGCTGTCTCCTGAGCCCTTCTGGGACAGGCCCAGTGTCTGTCTGTGAGGCTGCTTTTCCTACAGCTACTCTGATGGAGGGAAGGGTATTGTGGGAGTGTGTCTTTCAGGGTTCCGAGCAGGAAATGGGCAGGGACCCACACCAGTGACTCACTTTGGCACTCTCCTTATTAGATGTCCTCCTTTTCTCAGCTCAGAGGACTGTGACCTACCCTCAGGGATGCAGGGGACGGAGGAAGCACAACAGTTACTCATTCTGTGTCAGCTTCAGCTTTTAGACATCAAACTCAAGACATAATGCCCTCATTCTTACTTCCGCTGCCAACAGTTCTCCTGGGGGCCACGAAGACCTCATGTCTAACAGCTAAGTGGACAGTTTGAGAATAGGGAGGGTAACAGAGTCAAAGGAAGTGTGGACGCGGATGATGGGAACGCATCAGTTAATATTTCCTAACATTATTTTGCCACATGTGCTTATCATAGCAGTTGGCCCGGTTGCGTGACTTCTCCATGCCGGAGGCTTTCCAAACATCGTTTCCTGTGATTCCCACACGAACTTATGAGGTGGGTATTATTTTCCTAATTTTATAACTGAGGAAATGAAAAATCAGAGCTTAAACAGCTTGCCTAAGGTCACACAGCCTGTATAGGTGGTAGTGCCTGAACACGAACCCAGGTATTTCTGACTCTCAATTCTTTGCTCTTTCTACTACTTACTTCTCCCGAGGAAACCCAGAGAAGAACACAAGCTAAAGCACGCGCTAGGATCTGGCAGAAAGCATGCATCTGTAAAACAGATCGCAGAAACACCTTCTACGTGCTTGTCAGAGCTCTGGCCTTTTGAGATGCTGAAGCAGCTCGTGGGAGGTGTATCAGTCAAGCTGACAGAAGCTCAGAAAGCACTGGGCGATAGCATGGCCCTTCCTTGAGGATGGCTGCAGGAAAGAGCGGAGGAACAGATGAGCTCCAATCCTTAAGAACAGTCTGAACAAATGCGAGAGCCTCATTTGCCGGAACCTGCTCTCAAGGCGGCCAAGAGCTGTACCTCGTGGCATCACTTAAAGAAGCCAAAATAAGAAGGCGAACAAGTCCCAGGACAGGGTTGGAGGCTACCGGGCTGGGGAGTCAACTCGGGCGGGTTGAAAATTGACAGATACCTATTCATAGGTTTCTTTCTCAACTTTTCTTCCTGATTTTCTATCCAACTCTATTCTTCTCTCACCCGTGACTGTAGGATCCAGAAAGCAAAGGAGCAGGAGGTGCTGTAGCTGGGGGATGTCAGCTAGGAGCATCTGCCCACAGCGTCGTGCGTGAGTAGCAGCAAACATCTATGAGCCAGAGGACCAACGAGGAGCGTTTGGGCGACAAGTGTTGCTCTAGGCAAGAAGCAGACGCCTGGGCATGCCAGAGTTGGGCACCTGGGAGGCAGGGTGATCCTGTGGCCCTCAGGAACTCAAAAACAGAGTGGAGATGAGGAAGAGGAAGCAGCCCTGTAAAATGGAAAGCTCACTGACTTTGGAGTCCTCAAGACCTGGCCACGAAGCCTGACGTCTCTGCGCGTTAACTACGCGACCTCGGGCGTCTTGGTTAACCTCCACGAGCATCGGTCTTCTTATTCGTAAAATGACCAAAGTAAATAATATCATCCTTGCAAAGCGGTTGTGGAGCACACAGCTTAGGGCATCACAGGCAATCGGTTCTGTCCTGCATCAAAGCTCATGTACTTGCCCCTAAGGGATCTCTCATGGTTTCCATCAGATTCTTAGACCTCATAAATTCAAGGTTGCATTCTCTGTCCTACGATGTGCAAAGCACTGTGCTAGTGCTGTGAAATGAAGGTGCAAGCTGCTGCAGAAAGCTGGGCAAAGATGAGTGCTGAATGGTGCCTGTCATGCTCATTTTCTGCTGATGACAGTCACTATAAGCTTGGCATCTTAAATTTTTTTAATGTTTATTTATCTCCGACAGAGACAGACAAAGACAAAGCATGAGTGGGGGAGGGGCAGAGAGACAGAGGGAGACACAGAATCCGAAGCAAGCTCCAGGCTCCAGGCTCCGAGCTGTCAGCACAGAGCCCCACGCGGGGCTTGAACCCACAAGCTGTGAGATCATGACCTGAGATGAAGGCCAACACTCCACCAACTGAGCCACCCAGGCGCCCCTACAAGCTCAGCATCTTCAAACAGCACACACTTGTTCTCACAGTTTCTGGGGTCTGGACTCCAGGCGCAGTTCTCCGTTCAAGGACCCACAAGGCTGAAACCAAGATGCCAGCTGGGTCATGTTCTTCTCTGGGTGTTTACTAGGGAAGAAGCCATTGCCAAGCTCATCGGAGTTGTTGGTGGAACTCAATTCCTTATAGCTACAGAACTAAAGTCCCTGTTTTCCTAGCTATTGACCAGAAGCCACTCTCTAACTACAAGCCACCCTTGGGTCCTCGCCACTTGGCTGCCTCCACAGGCAGTTTCTAACATGCTGTTTGCTTCTTCAAGGCCAGCGGGAGGCTTTCTCTCCCTTCAAATATCTCTTCCCTTCAGAGAAGGCCCAGATCCCCTTTTGAGATGTGGCCGCTCAGGTCAGTCTCACCCAGAATCGTCTCCCTTTTGATTAATTCAGAGCCAACTGATCAGAGACCTTAGTTACATCTGCAGAATCCCTTCCCTTTGCCATGTCACCCAACCCAATCACAGGATGAAATGCCATCAGGCTCCCACATCTCACTCACACTCAGAGGGAGAGAATCATCTGGGGCGCGGACACCAGGGGACAGAAACTGGAAGAACATATAAGAATTCTGCCAATGATACGTGCTTATTCATACCCAGCTCCAAGAGGGGGCTGAGGGCTAAGCCTTAGCACAGGGTAAACGACACGTAGTAGACACCTTGTGAATCAGCAACTGATCCACTTGGAAACTCACAAGGTGATTTTTCTTCTTGCTAGATAGTTTACAGAATCACATCACCCTTTTCAGATGCCACACCCTGAAAGAATATTGTCCTGCTGGGAAATGTGTTGCCCTGGGGGAAGCCTCTCTCACCATCTCAGACACTTTGCATTCTGTCTGTCCTGCAGACATCTTAAGGTAATAACGGGCATCCAGAGGAATGCAGCTTATGTGGCCTGGGATCTAATTTTAGAAATACTCTCAATCTAAATATGGGGAAACTAAGGCCCGGCTAGGAGGAAAGTCACCTGGCCCCCTGCTCCGGGCCTCTTGCAGTGATGTTCTGATCAAAATTCCCACAGACTGGTCCGCCTTGGCTGTCAAGGGAGGGAAGTATCGGCTGAGTAAGATCCTAGCAGGTTGTGTAAGGAGTAGGTGACAGTTGACAAAATACTAGCCGGTGTCAGGTGGGTTGAGGGATTTTCCAAACAAAGTTTAATTTCCTGCATTATTATTACCGTAAAGAAAAAGAGGTAGGTAAAAATTATTTTCAAATTAATTGAAATCGAATTCATGGTGTTAATTAAGGAATACTTCTTTTGCATGAAACCTTTTATTTTCTCATTTTCAATGAAAAAAACGACTTTGTATTACTATTAATAGGCTTCATGAGATGAAGCACATTTTGAAAGTCAGTAACTTACAAACCTTCCAAGGTCTACTGGGATTAAAAGAGCTACAAAATTATCTTGTTCATTGCCTCCTACCAGATTACTGAGAGCTGATGGATCTACTGGTCTCTGCCGTGCTTGCCCCTCCGAATGATTTTTGGTTTTAATATCTCTTTCAGGCTAGGCTTCCTAATGATACCCAGCACTATTAGTTCTCCCTCAAAGAAGGCTCCCCTGTGCTGACAAAAAGGGGTCTCGGGCTTGAGAAAGACTTGCTGGATCAAAATCCAGACTTCGAAAGTCAAATGGGGAGAGTGGTTGTGGGTGTGTGTTGAGGGAAGACCCCAGGGTCTGACCTGACTCAACCCTTCAGTGCAAGGGTGTGTAAAGAGCTGGAATGGTAGGAGCGTGGGCTAGTTTTAGCAAGAAGTGCCTCTGGCTGAGCCTAGCACTGAAAACACACTGGCTTTGGAAGGATCTCCTCATCAGTGTTGGTGGCAAGGACGAGAGCCAGAGCCCAAGGAGGGCAAGGAGGGGGGGCAATTCTCACGTACTGCTGTTGGTAATGCAAAATCGAACAGCCACTTGTGAAATCAGTTTGGCAGTTTCTTCTTAAGTTAAATATACATTTATTGTATGAGCCACTCATTCCACTCTTAGGTGCTTTTTCAACAGGAGTGGAAACATATGTCCCCCCGCAAAGACTTGCACGTGACTGCTCACAGCACCTTTATTTATAATGGCCTAAAATGGAAAGGGTACAAATGCCCATCAAGAGGTGAACGGGTACAGAAACTGAGGTGTGGTTACACGGTGGAACAGTAGTCACCAATAAAAAGAACCAGACTACTAATACACACACAGATAAACCTTAGAAGCCTCTTGCTGACTAAAAGAAGCCAGGTGAAAGAGTACATGTTATATGATTCCATTTAAATAAAGGATCAGAACAGGCAAAACCTACGCTATATTGAGAGAAATCATATTAATACTTGCCTAAGGCAGGGATTAGGACTCTATCAACTGCAAAGGGGCATAAGGAAGATTTGGGGGGTAATGAGAATATTTGATATCTTAATGGTGGTGATGGCTACACAGATGTATACAATTGTCAAAACTCATCAAACTGGAGTCCTAAAATAAGTACATTCAATTGTATGTAAAAATACTCATTACTGGCTGAATATTAAACCAGACAAAGTTCATTTTTTAAAAAATGATCCAGGCCCAGGGTTTCCACTGAAGAAGACTGATCGAGAGAGATCACTCTGTGTGTCTCTAGAGACATCTGAAATTCATGCTATGTTTCTTAAGTCCAACGGAATTCTGTTTAATTGATATAAAAACACTATAGGGACCAAGATGGAGTAGATACACTTCTCCCTACCCCTCCTGCTAAGTATAGCTAAAAAGCTGGACGTTATCGAGCAAATACAAGACTCTGGGTGCCTGGGTGGCTCAGTCGGTTGAGCATCTGACTTTGGCTCAAGTCATGATCTCACAGTTTGCAAGTCTGAGTCCCGCTTTGGGTGAACACCGCTTCTGTTTCTCTGTTTCTCTGTCTCTCCCTCTCTCTCTCAACCCTCATGGGATTCTCTCCCTCTCTCTCTGCCCCTTGCTCACTTGCATCCTCTCTCTCTCTCTAAAAAAGGTAAAAATAAAGCAAGTACAAGACTTTGAAAGTGGACAGAAAAAGGAAGTCTGGGGAGCAACCTCAGAACTCAGGGAATGATGTGACAGTGAGTTCCCTGAGTTTTACGTCTCATGTATCTTGGGTAAAATGCCAAGAAACGAGCCACTCATAAACACCAATGTGTACACACCAAAAGAAGAAAAAGGCCTCCAAAGAAGCCTGCTCTTTCTAGCCAAAGGACCAGGAAAGCATAAGGCTAGCAAGACAGAAAACTTGAAACAATAACCACCCTTCTCAAGCCAAACACCATGGAAACAACCAAGCCCCCCACTCCGCCCCCTGACATGGTCAACAAAGGTACCCCAAGCAGCAGAACTTGATGTTCTTCATTAGGGGAGCATTATTTCTTCTAACAACAACAACCTAGGAAACAAAAACTGTTAACATTTTCAATGGCACTGACTATGCTTTAAAGTACTCATGGTTAGTGGTGGTTATAATACCACACGCGTGCCTCACTTTTGGAGGGGCTACGATATCCAAATGGTCCTTATATCACTGTTTTTTGTGACTATTACGCCGTCAGATTTCTAATACAGATATTAGATTCCAATCATTCTCAGATTGGAACTTTGACGTACAAAACATAGCCAGGCTTCTCTGACAACCCCAAATTCAACGGGGGGAAACGCTTAGCAAACTGTCAGGGTGATTTTGTAACCAAATTATCTTTGGCACTTCCTAGATGGCCACTTGGTGTTGCCCAAGTATTTACTTCTACTTCCCACTGATTTACTTCTACTTCCCAATGGCATGGCACATATGAACAAAGAAGGAATTCTAAGAATAATTAGATGTGAGTTCCACACTCCACAATTTTGCCAGTGTAACTCAAGA